GAGGATATCTGATTTTGACCGGACCCGGTCGGGTAAGCACCTAACCCGGTCGGGTACCCGGCCCAAGGTGTTGAAAAACACCTATAAATAACCTCATTTTCCTTCACAAAGAATCATCCCTTCTTCCATATACTTAAGCTCAGTTTAGAATAGTTATTTCTTATATTTTTATAGCATGTTTAGTCTCCAAATGAGGAGCTAAACTTCCATTTCTTGGTTTTGCTCTTGAAGCTTGTTGATTATTAAAGTTGTGAGTTATTTTCTTACTTTCTCCTCTTGATTATTAATTCTTCCCTTAATCTCATTCTATATTAATGTTGGAGGGTGGCTAAGTGACGATTAGTTAACGTTCCGACATTGATTATTACTAGAAACGATCAACGAACCGATGATTAAACGTTGATGGTTTCACAAGTAAGTAACTTCGGTTTATTAATGCACGGTCGTGGTTAATAAACTTAAGAGGGATTAATTTTGTTGGTTAAACCGAAACCGTTGTGTTGAGGTTATCAATCTCAATTGATTTCATCAAGGAGTTAAAGAGGTTAAATGCTACTATTAAATCGGTATACGGCGTTGTTCTATATTTGGTTAATAGTAAGGGTTATTAATGAACGGTCGTTGTTAATAACTACCCTCGATGAATTGGATATACTCCTCGATTGAGTATTCGAGAGGGGATAAGTTATAGATATAACAATGATCGACTAAAATATATCAACAAGTGGAAAGTAGCAAGACCAAGTCCCTTTTTATTCTTGAATTTAATCCCATATAACTCGTTCATCTTCGTGTTTAATTTAATTAAATCACTCAACAATCAAAACCCCCCTCTATTTACTATTTACATAAAAAGAAAGTTATTCCTTTCCCTGTGGATACGAACTCTACTTCACCTATACTACGTATAAGTGTTAGTATCGATTTATTTTGAGTGCACGCACGACAAAGTGCACGTCACCTGCGTCGCCAGAAGAGGAGGAAGGCAAAGAAAGCTTCACCGGAGTGTTGCCGGACTGGAATTTTCACGTTGATCGCGTAGGAAGCGTGCCGCCATCTCTTCGCCGGAACACTCCTAAGCCACGGTGCTACTTGTCTCCAGAAAAGGGAGGTCGATGTGGGGTTAGCATGCAACTGCAAGTCTTCCCTGTGTTTTGCGTTCCTGAAAAAATTGGAGGACGAAGATGAAGGTACCGTAGCATTCTAGTAAACTGAAAGTATTAATTGGGCCAGAGAATCGTTAGACTGATGTCAAATGTTTTGGGAATTGCAAAACTGCCACCGGATGTACGTACAACCGGTGGTACGATATACGAACTCAAGACTGTTACTCCGTATTTGTTTACCGAGTAGTGAAATTTGTTTAACATACGCTCATTAATCATTATGTATACCTAATTACTTGCAAACTTGTAATATTCCCATTCTATAGTTATATAGTGAATATGTGAATATTGGCTTCGTTTGATATACTTGTACACCCCCTTTGTAACTTATACTGTTTCAGGTAATATATACTGAGACTCCTCCTGCCGATGATGAACTACAAGAAGGCTACACGCAGGTTAAAAGAAGAAGAAACAAATGCATCGCGTCGCAAAACCCTTCTAACGAAGATAGAGAATATGCACAATTATTCTACCACGTGGGATATACCCGGTTGATGAAAGATTTGACTCCCCCCATAATCTGGTGACGGCTCTCAAGAGATTCAAAAATTCACACACGCATGCGAAAACCTACCCGCCCTATCTGCAAAAGCCTATCAAGTTCCATAACAAGTTCAACCGATCCTTTTCTGCATCACTTGAAATTCTTTGTTTTAATTTAAACTATTGATGTAATCTTAATTTCCTGTTGTATGCTCTATTTCCCTTGTACTCTAAACTTTTATTTAATAAAATCGGGTGGTGTTCCCCGGCGCCACCACCACCACAAGTGGTTTTGAACCCGAAAAAAGAATACTAATCGGCAATTATTACATAAAGTAAATTAAATACTTTTTTGTTTAAGAAAATGCAAACAAGATAAAATAGATATGCTCAAGAGATATAGCTTAAATTATTAGAAGTCACTATACCTATGTGGAGTAACAGATATAGCTTATTAGAAGCTATTGCCCAACCAAGGGTTATTACAGAACGTCCAGGCCTTTATACAAAGCTCCAAAAATAAATCAAGAAAGCATACAAGGAGGAAGAAAAAAGTTCAAAAACCTTGATACCACATAAACAAGTGATTCATATAAGAAAAGAAAAACATCCACCGAAAATTAACTTTGCAATGAACAAATAATTGAGTGAAGTAGCAAAGTATTGGATAAAGGAGAATATTGTGAAATAATGGGAAAGAGGTACTCCAATAGGAGTCCTGACAGATATATTTATAATAGAGGAGTTGTCAAAATACAAAGTATTCCTAAATAGATATTAGGCAGATTCCTAAATATATATTAGGCAGATTCCTAAATATATTAGTCTATTAAATAAATCATTTATCGTAAGTTTTTTTTGTAGAATTTCTTTTAATAGTTTTTTTTCTCCCACATTTTTTTATCTATTTGTATCCGGTGTATCTATTTTTATAAATGATTTTTTTGACATATTAGAAGTTAGTATTATTTTTATTCTCTCCTTTATACTCCACTTTTTTTTATTAGTCTTTGATTGGTTAGTGAATTCTAACTTGTTATTTTGAGTTAATTATTTTTTCTTCTATTTTCGACTAGTATCCTGCCCCTCTATCTCATTTCGTGTAAGGCTCTGTTTGTAATCTCTGTAGATAAGTGCTTTTGTTTTTTTTAAGAAAAAAACACTTATTTTATCAAACACTAACAACTTTTATTATCTCAATTTTCGTGTAGAATCTACTTTTTACTTTTTCTATTACACAAAAAGCATTTATTTTACCATACTTTCTTTTACTTTTACTAATCGCTTTTTCTAAAAAGTGCTTTTATTTAAGCACAAGTGGTTGCAAACAAAGCCTAAATAGTATATGTCCATACTTTCTTTTACTTTTTCTCTTTCTTCCTTTTAAGAAAATACATTGTTTTTTATTCATTTTCCTTTTTCATTACTTTTTTATTTGAAAATTTCCATCGTGCCGCTGAAGTAATGGTGGAGTCACTTTGAAAAACATGACAGAAAAGGGAAGAAATATAGATAATATATACTAGTGGAATTAAGGTAAAAAGAAAGAAAGAAAGAAAAGCAAATGTAAAACAAAAACTAAAGTAAAAAAATTAGTAGGGTGGGAAAAAGATCTTTTATAAACAGAACTAATTCGAAGAAAATTACATAAAAATGCACATGAAATAATAAATAGAAAGAAGAAAAAGTAGATAAGTATGGAATTGATAAGCATGGAAAATAAATAAAAACAAGGAGATTAAAAATTTAATAAAAGCATCAAGAGGATAAAAGTAGAGATATACTTCCTCCGCCCCATTGGACTTTGCCAACTTTCCCCTTTTTGTTGTCCCATAAAACTTTCTCTCTTTCCCATTAAAGTAACTATTTTGTGGTTCTGCTCATTTCTCTCTCCTCTGCACAAACTTCAACCACACAATTTTTACTCTTCTTATTTCTCACCCAGTTACAAAAGTGCAAAGTCCATTGGGACGGAGGTAATACAACTTTTAGGAGAAAAAAGAAAAATAAATAACTTGAAATAAGAAATTATTAATCAAGCAGAGATCAACGAGAAAAGATGAAATGAAAATGTAAAATTATTTTCAGGGGTTTTTACAAGAATATTACTAAAATAAAACTTATTTACATAAATATGACTATTCATTACTCCAACGTAGTGTTGTGGTAACTTAAGTTCAAAATTTGAACATTAATTACTATGATTCCATTACTACTCTAGTAACTAGTCACATTTTTGTAAATCATCTTTATTTTGATCATATTTATGTAATTATTTCTTATTTTCAGATGACAATTAAGTGAAATTTAAAAAAAAAGACTATTATTAAGTTCTATCTTTCCGTTTCCTTAAATAATAAATTTAAGCCTAAAGGTGAGAATAGGTGATGGTCTTGAGCACTCAAGGCTAGCTTGTTGGCCTATTGCCAACATTAAGAAACCTATCTAGTCATTACTAATTACTACTACTCCGTCTCATAATGGTTGTCCACTTTCAATTTGGCACGATTATTAATAAAGTGGTTGAAAAGTAAAAGTTGTGGTTGAGATTTAAGTAGAATAAAGTGAATTGATAAGAACCACATATTTCATCCAAAAAAGGAAACAAGACATTCATTTTGGGACAACTCAAAAGGGAAAGTAGGACAACCAAAATGGGACGGAGGGAGTAATAATCAAGACGACGGTCAAATTAAGGAGCCATCTTTTTACCGTAAAAGAGACGCATGTGTATTACAATTGCACTTTTTCTATCTCACCAACTTCCCTTATGTAACACTCAAATTGACTAGACATTTTCAGTCACTTAAAGAGTATCCTAATTGAAATTTGATTTTGTAGTATATGAATGTCCCCTCTCAATTTTAATTTCAAATTATTATAAATGTGATCCTCGCTCACAATATAAATGTCGTCACACTCAAAGAACTAGAACAACACGATCAAAGAATTGAAGTATGACATTTACAAACTTGAAAACACGACTGCACGAGAGCTACAGTTCAACATAGGCACTATATGAAGAGTTTTTTTTTTTATCGTACTATTTGAAGAGTTAAAAGTGCGATTTTCTCTTTATCGAATTTGTTTTAATTAATGAAATTTCAACTGAACCGATTGAATCTGTTGAATCCTCGAAAAATTATATTCAAAGTATTTTTATTGATAAAATAAATAAAAACTCATATGAAAAAAATTAAAATAATTCGGTTATACTTATTATCACATTATTCGACATGTGAAATCAATATTTATGCTTTTGGTAATAAAGTGAGCCGTAAATTAAGCCGGAAAATTAGTGCCACCAAACTACTATATGTACACATGACATGTAGAGAGATAGATGATGGATGAGTTGAGATCAAGAAGAAGAAAAACAATAATGATACGAGTACAAAGTTATTCTTCGGCCGTGGTCAAGTCAACGACGACGACCGACCACCGCCCTTGTGCTTCTCTGCTTGTTTTAATCATTATTTTCTTCTCCTCTGCATGTTCGACGGGGGGACTGGAAACTGGGCCGGCGATCAACGAGACAGAGAAGATGAAAGCTGTTCATGCTCTTCTCAAGAAGATCAACAAGCCTGCTAACAAGACGATTCATGTATTTAATCACTATTTATTTACCATTGCATGTTTAATTTCTTCTTCTGATCTTAATTAGTTTTCTAAAAGAAGGATTTAATTAATGGTGCGCTGCATTGATATGATTCAGAGTCCGGACGGAGACATTATAGATTGTGTGGACTATCATCAACAACCCGCTTTTGATGATCCACTCTTGAAGGCGCAAAAACGTCCACTGGTGAAGCATTTGTTTTCATATCATCAAAGACGTTCTTTTTTAGTTTTAACATTCTCTTTTTCACATTTGTTAGCATAGAATTTTGATCGTCATTATATTTAATTCTCTATTAGTAAAAAAAATTTAAAAAACAAATTATGAAACTTTGTAATGAGAAGAATTCAACAATGTTTTTCAAAAAAACAAAAATTCAGATACGTTAATAAATAAAATGTAGTCAAAGTAGAGTACATGAATAGTGTATAAATTTCAATATTGCAACTCATATGACACAGAAGATAGTATATATATTATATATATATACTCCGTATGTGTTTGGGACCTTAGGGATAAGTTTATTAAATTAGTCCTTATATTGGATAAATGATTGTATGAATGACAGAAATATTAGTCCCGGGTTTTAAGTGGACAATTATATAACCACGTATGGCCTAGGCTATGGTGGACTGAAACCCATGACAACTAAATTTTAGGATAACACGCATAACCAAATACACACATAAAAGAGAAGTCAGGCGACCGGTGAAATAATTATTGATATGGAGAAAGACTAGTAAAATGAGTAGAGGGTAAACGATTAATAATATAAGTAGCGATTAAAATAGCCTCAACCCAAAATTTATCTGGCAGACCATCATCAATAAGCATGGTTCTAACTAATTCAATAATATGACGATGTTTACCTTCAGCTAGACCATTTTGTTGAGGAGTATCCGGACAAGATTTTTGAAAACTAAAACCATGAGTATTAAAAAAATGACCGCATACTTAATTATCAAACTCACCCCCTTTATCACTTTGAAAAATTTTAATTTTATGATCCAATAAATTTTCCACCAGCCGTTCAATTCTCCTTGGACTCCTGCTTCGGCCCTAGCATTTGTTTGAGGATATTGGGATGGGTGCAGAGATTTGAGCTACGGCCAAGCTGCTGAAATCGTTTCACTGGGTCTGGAGGTCTTCCTTTGTTGTTGTGCTTTCCACCGTCGTTGACAAGTGAACTAGCTTGGAGCTCAAAACAGTGATGTAAACATTAGAACATGTGAATTTTTCCTCCTTTTTCCCTTCGTTCCTTGATGAAAACAGTAGCTTTTGGTATCAAAAAATTGTGTAAAAAATCAAGAACACATGAATCTTTTTTATCTTTTCCCACAGACGACACCAATGTTGAGGTTTTGTCTCATAGATCCGCAAGCCCAACATAAACTTCGGATATTAAGGACGATGAATTCAGTATAAAAGTGAATATAAATATAAAAGTGTATAAACTAGCTATTTTTACGTGGAAACCCGGAAAGGAAGAAAACCACGAGACTTTTTAGGCTAACGTCCAAGCCCGCTCTTTCTCATTGATATGCTCTCATCACTCTATTACATAATACATATTTAGAACCTCCATAACTTTGTTGCTAATCTATCAAGAAAGAAGAAGAAGTAGTCATGGGGGAGAAGAGCTCCTGGGAGCAGCCAGAGATCCTCTCAAATGAAAGCCCTCCTTATTTATAGAAGGGGGAGGGGGAAATTCCTCTAGTCTACTGGGCCGCCAAATGGGCCGAGGTAGGTCCTAGTGGGCCGAAATGGGCCAGACTGATCTAATTGAGCATCACTGACTGGGCCCCGTACTGGGCGGTGCCTTGGGCCTCTGAACAGTAGTAGGCTGGGGTAGTATACCCCAACAGTGCTAATCAAGTATTTGTAAAGTGTGAACATTTGTACGGTGAAAAATACTTTTGTACACATTGGCCTATACTCCCACATCCCAATATAAAGGTCTTCTTTCTATTTCGGTATGTCCCTTAAAAATTCCCCCTTTTCTTAATAGGTAAACAACACAATGCAAAACAGTGACAAACATTGTTCAAACAGTTCACCTTATTAAATTGTGTGTAAAAAGAAATGACACTTTTAAATTGGGACGGAGGGAATATTTTGATTCGGATAACAAGAAAATAACTGTCTTTATAATTAATACGATAGTATTAGGTTACTGACGACTCATATTAGCATTGTGGGAATAAACATGTTTCAATCTTTTTGTTAGATTGTACAGGAGCATTGATTTGTGCGCTATAAGAGCATTTCTAATGCTTTACTTTCAACACTAAAATATGATGACACATGTTAATAAATGAGTGGGAATGTTATCCACGTATAAGTAGTGTTACGTATGATAAATCTAAGACATAAAGTCACCCTTCAATGCACACTTTAATCCTATTGGTGTGAATCCTACATGCAGATAATTTTTTTTATATCAAAGACAAAGCTAAATATGTGTAAGTTGCTTATTAAGTATCCCACAATAAATCCTATTGACGAGTCCTCCGCTGTTTAACAGGCTTTCTACTTCCTGAAAGTGGGCTTCACACTTTGTTCATTTAATTTTGACACCTCAGCAACACAATACAAAAGAAAGAAAGCATTGGAGCAGAAAAAACACTTTCCTCCTCTATGACGTGGCCGTATTATTTAAATGTTAACAATATAGCATTGGAGATGCTCTTATAATGTTCGTGAATAGTTATTTGTTTCTCACTAAAAAAATATTGATATGTACACCCTTAAACAATACAATGACACCTTCAAGTCTTCAACCTACACAACTAAACGCAGTTAAATTATTAAATTATGAATTAATAAGATATCTCAATATAATTATCAAGATGTAACATTTTATGTGACCGAATTGAAGTAGCATTTGTTATGAATTGGTAGAGCCAAGCTGAATGGCCAGAAGGCCACATCAAAAATAGCTTGGACATGGAAAATGTTCAGTTGTGGAGCCTAAATGGGGAGTCATGTCCAGAGGGAACAGTGCCTATTAGAAGAACCAAAGAGCAAGACATTCTGAGAGCTCCTTCCATTGCCGCTTTCGGAAGAAAAATGTCAACAAAAAGAGATTCCTCAAACGAGGTCCATGAGGTTAGTACTTGGTCCACACCACCGTTCATTGTGATTCTATTTCTTGTTTATGACTCAAGTTAAGAGTACCAAATTTACATTTTGGCATCCATGCATTATCCATTAAAGTTATTTTTATCCCACATATTTGTTTATCCGGTACAAATTTTTAATATTCTTTACCTTCTAAAATTTTCTTTTCACCTTAAATTGGAGAATAAAATTATGTGGTTAACATTTATTTAGAAAACGTATAGACGCCCTCAACTAACTAATATGAAGTATGCCTAAACTAATATGAAGTATGCCTAATTTGTGATCTGATGACATCACCTTTAATTTTCCAAAGAGAAAGTCACATGTTCGATTCTCATCTCAAGAATATGACAATATCTTTAACAAATACCATAACATATTTAGAAATTATATATACAAAAAAGAAAAAAAAAGATATGGAATATTTTTTTGAAAGGAATAAGTGAAAAGAAAAATTAACACTCCAAAATAAAACAAAAAATGGGAAGAAAATATTACTATGTATGATATGATGGTGCTCCACGCCTTCGATCACATGGTATGTGTTGTTGGGGAATATTAGGGGTGACAATCATATAAGTTCACTTTCTGAATCAATATTTCTCCCTTATACCGGGCGGTCACATGAAATTCAAATTATGATATTCCTTAAGGAGGATGTGTCAGTCTTGGTGAGGGTAGTGAATACATGTTACTGGGTCAAGGCATGGTAATGGATCGAACCGGTGACGATGGAAGTGGGTGGTTGGTGCAATTGATGAGGATATTATTTTCTTGAGATTTTCTCAAGATTTATACCTAGTGTGCGCGTGCTTGATATACTTCCTCCGTTCCCTTTTAATTGCAACAGTCAACATTTCACGTTTGCCAACACACACGTTTGACCATTAATATTTTTCATTCCTTATTAGTAAAAAATTTTAAAAAATTCATATTTTGAAAATTTAGAATGAGAAGAATTTAATAATATTTTTAAAAAAAATTAATTTATAATACATTAATGAATAAAATATAGTCAAAGTAGAATATGTGAATAGTTCAAAAAGTTCAATGTTGCGATTAAAAGAGAACGGAGGATAATATATAGAGAGGAAATTTGAAGAAGAAAGATAAGGGTGGAAAGTAGAAACATAACATTTGAATTAAAATGTGAAAAGGATCTTTAATTTCATAAAAATTTTACACCTTAAATAGAATATTAAAAGTTACACTTCCTTTTCTGGTATAAGCAATGTCAAATCTCTTATTTTAGGGAATTTGGCTTGTGAGAATCCAAAGATAATTAAACTTGCAAACTTTTAGACATATCTACATTGACATTGTTTGATAAAACTGTTCTTTATATGTTTCTTCTTCAAGAAATAATAATAATGAATATATTTGATAGTCATACACGAAACCGCATAGGCGCATATGTTATTTTAGAGAGAAGACAAAGCTATTTAACAAAGACAAATCAATATGTAATAAATGACTTTTAAACTCTTATTACCCTAGAGAGAGAAAAGATAGTCCAATCCAGGAATCCTAACTAACCCTGTTACTAAGGGGGTGTTTGGATCTGATTATCAAAACTGATTCTGCTCGTTTAGGGAGCAGGAGCAGAAGCTGGAGTGTTTGGGTGAAATTCCAAAAGCACTTTTGATGCTCTAATTTACTCTCAGAATCAGTTTTTTAGAAGCTGGTACCCTCCAGCTTCTGAAAACTGGTTTTGATTCTGCTTCTGCTTTAAAAAAGAAGCAGAAGCAGAATCGGTTCCAAACAGCCCCTGAGTCTATATCCATCAACTAAGGCCGAAGTCAGTAATCAGGACTCAACATTCTGTTAGGAAGCCTATTCTGAGCTAGACACGTAAAACACATGTGTTCACTGTTTTATTGGAAAAATTGTGCAACATATGTAGAGAAGGCACATATTCCCGCCAGTAGTTGTTCCACGATGGTCTAGGGCACATGTCGTCCTTGTCCGCGTGTATGATGCGGTTGATGCCCTTACCTAGCTGGTGGAGATATGTCACTTTGATCTTGGTCGAGGGGACATTATATGGGGAGGCAGTCAATGAAGGTGTTCATGTTGATTCTTGTTTGATCCTTGTGTGGATAATCTAGGTCGCTCTGAGTGATCTAGAGTACCCTCGGCTCGATAAGGGTATGAGTTGAGGGTTGTAGTCCATAGCTTGTTGGGCCAGACTGAAATGTCTATGTGAGTCATGGGTCCGAGCCCAAGTACTCCATCAATAATACTAAAGTAGTACGGAGTACTAGTGAATAAAGAATTTGATTTTTTATACGTTAGTGACTATCGTAATAATTTTAGTGGCCATGACTATGTTCAACTTAATAATCATAATAATGTAACTATAGTCACATTTTTGTCCATTAAATTCATTATGCAATACTTAAGGAAAACTGTCTTTAATTTTGCAAAGCATAAAAATACGGAGTAATATTTTGAGATGACAAGTTATACTTGTTTCAAGATAAATGAGGTCAAGGGCGGAGCGTGTGCAAAGAATATTTTGATAAACTTTTACACAAAATTTTTTAGACTAAAAATATAGACATTTTTACACTGAGTTGGACTGAGCCTGTACATTGTCTGGGGTGGGACAGGGCCTAGGCTAGCCACCCCTGGCTACATCCCTCGATGAGGTTAAGGGAAGTTTTTGTTTTTTCAAGAAATTCAAACAATGTATTCACTGCAAACAACCTCAGTCTTTCCAAAGTGCACACAAATTCATGCTTCCTCTTGCAACAAATATATTACATATACAACGTATGTTTTTTAAAATACATACGGTGCATTTTTATCAATAGCATAAATTTGCTTGTCTTACAAAAATGCAATATATAGTTTTCTTAAAACCATTATCAATGTGATAGTAGTTGTCACGTTAGGTTAGAAGCTTAATCCACATATGATCTAAAACTTAATAAAATCCATTATACTCCGTATAAGAAAAGATGGTATAGTGCACCTATCATATTTATTGTTAGTGTCTACAAGTCTTATATTTCTCATTGAACCAGAGTACAACCCCTAACTTTAAAAGCCTCATTTTAATATGTGGAACAGCATGCAGTTGGATATGTAAAGGGGGATAGTGTATACTATGGAGCAAAAGCTGGTATAAATGTGTGGGCACCTCATGTTGCTGATAACTCAGATGAATTCAGCATATCACAAATATGGATAACCTCTTCTTCGTTGGATAATACCATTGAAGCGGGTTGGCAGGTAGTTAGTCTTTTTACTTTTAGATCGACTTACATGTCTATTTCTTTTCTTTTCCTAATAAGAGTAGTTCAACATATGTATCCAAGTGTCACTCCAAGTAGGGGTAAGCAAAATCCGTTTCAAATGGGAGAATAAGATAAAAACGGGTAGTTACATACTGATTAAATACTAGTTACATAAATGCATACTGGTCCCATATTTGGTTCTTAATTATTTCTACTTCAGTTCTAGTCCACACCATTTTCAACCCAAAAATGCTAATCTGAAGCAAATGGACCAAAATTGCATGAATGCACATTTATCCTCTACGTAATGCACCTTGACGTTCAAACTAATGCATATTGTTTGGTGACGAAATTGCACACACTTTATCCTTTTGTAATGCATCTTCACGCTCAACGTGATGCATATTATGAAGTGATTTTTTTTATTACTCGTATTATTTACCAAAATGTCATGAATAAGCGTCATAAATAGACTTGTTTAATTTTACACGTGTAATTATACGCAGCTGGAGTAGGAAAGAAAACAAATTACACAGATATGACAAACATCAATTACGGTTAAAAGAAATGATAAATAGGTCACAAGTCAAGAGAAGTCAAAACTCGACACTTTTGAGTCATTCAAAGGGATAAAAAGACGAGGAAAAGGGAAGAGTTTGCATGAATTACAATTCGAGTGCTGGGCATAGGCCGAAACCGGTGTCGGATTTTGATAATTATATTCAACGAGAGAAAGATTGCATATAATGTCTTGAATGAACCGGCACTGTGCCCACCCCGGCACCCCATATATGGTGCTGGAGGAACTCATGTCTTGAATGAGTGTCGGAAGCTAAGTTCTTAGCTAAGGGAGTGTTTGTAATTGCTTCAACTTTAAAAAAGTGATTTTTTAAAGTGATTTTGGGAAAAGTGATTAATAGTAAAAGTTGGTAGTGTTTGAGAAAAAAGTGATTCTGAAAAAGTAAAAGTTGGTAGTGTTTGGTAAAATAAGTACTTTTTGTGTAATAGAAAACGTGAAAAGCAGTTTAAAGCACCCTTCCACCTGCTTCCAGCTTTTAGCTTTTAAGTGATTAATTTAAGCAGAAGCTGTCATTTGAAAACACTCTTTTTAGCTTTTTTAAAGCCAAAAGCTGAAAAGCACTTTTTTTAAGCAACCGCAAACACTGCTTAAGGCTTTGAGACAAATATCTACACCAGGGGCGGATCTAGGATTCGCGTTCAGGTGGGGCCAAAATTATTTTAAAAACATATATTATAAAAAATGTCAAAATGTAATACTCCCTAAACTAATGTCAGGAGTGTATGTATTTAACAAAATTTATTTTCATATGCAATGTAACATCTATCACTACATAAATGTCAAAGACAAAACAAATATTATCAGAATAAGATTTTTTTTTTCAAAATCAAATACATAAAACACCTCAAGCCCATAAACATTGAACTAATATTCACTTTTCAAGCCAAACAAATTGAACAAATTAATTTTTTAGGCTAATATTCAAAAGTCCAAAGCATACCCAATATTAGTGTCAAGCCCATTCAATGATTTTAAGTTTCTAGTAATTGATTTTAGGAGATCCAGTTTGAATAGATATATAGTACGTATTTCGTATGAAGGAAGAATCCTTCTCTTCTTCGGGTGTGGGATAACAAGATTTAAGGGAAAAAAAACTGAAATTTTAAAACAAGCTCCATTGCAAAATTAAGAAATTAGCTCTCAGTGGGACTCGAACTCAGGTCTCCCGTGTAGCAGCACTGCACACATTGCTAATCTATCCAACTCACCTTCCTACTTTTTGTGAAGAAGTCGCTTTTGTTGGTTATTATACCAGTTTTGCACAACACTATATATATTACTACCTAATGTATATACTATTTTTTTTTTTGAGCATGGGCCTAGGCCCTACCTGGCCCTAAGGTAGATCCGCCCCTGATCTACACTAGCTATTTTCAAGTTATTATGGTTTATTCTTCTAAAGTTTAACTATTTTATATGTTACTCCGTATGAAATATAAGAATATAATTTATGTTGAAATTGTTGGAAATCAATTAATTAAATAATTATTGATTCAATAAGATTAATTTTAGAAATGTTTGAGTTGGCTTAGAATTAAGGTTTATATTGTTTGTGTTTATAAGCAATTAGGTAACTCAATAAGTTGCCAAATTGTTTATTACATAGGCCTGTATATATGGTTCTACATATTACTACGTAGTATTTTGCATCCATCCAGTGAGCAATATTGATAATGAGAAGAGTTCTCTCCTCCTAATACAAATCATGTGAGTGCGTGAGTTTTTATCCGGCAAGACGGCGAACATCTCTGGTGATAGAATATATTTATTCCCAACAAAATGGAATCAGAGCCGCCCATTTCGATGAGCCGTGATGATGGCTGGTAACATGTTTGGACTCTCGGTACTCAAACTTGAGAAGGGCGAGTACGACCGGTGGAGCTTACAGATGAAAACTAAACGCTACATGGTGCGCAAGGCTTGTGGGATATTGTTGAGGAAGGCTATGAAGAGCCGGCTGAGAATGTTGGACAAACTTCTGCACAACGGAAGGAACAGAAGAAGGCTAAACAACAGGACAAGATGGCACTTCACTAGATATTTCAGCGACTGGACACATTCAAATTTTAAAAAACTGCGGATTGCGAAACCTCGAAGAAAGCGTGGGACACATTGGAGAAGATCTACCGAGGAGTAGACGAGGTGAAACAAGCCTGATTGCAGATCCTTCGGGGAGAACTGTAACCCACACGCGCGAATGAAAGATAACGAGTCTATAGGCGAATACATCAGATGTGTTGCCGAAATCACGAGGCCGTGAAAGAGAGCACACTGGTCGAGAAGATCCTAAGAACCCTAACGTATTCCTATGAAAGAATTGTCTGTGCCATCGAGGAGGCGAGAATATTGGAAGATATGACTCTGGAAGAGCCCACATGGTCATTGGAGGTGCACAAGCATAGACGAATTAACACATAGGAGACACTCGATGAAGCACTACAGAGCAAAACTACAATCAAAGATGAAACGCATGAGCAGACTCAACATACCCGGGGCCGAGGTCGTGGTTGCAGAGAGCAGAGACAGGATGCTCTGGGCGACCAGCTACATCCTAACGAAAGAGGTCAAGGTAGAGGTCAAGGAGGTTGCGGAAACCGGCCAGATGGCGAATGATATAAGTGCGGAAAACGTGGTCACTCTGCACGTGACTGCTAGTCAGAGAAAACAACCAAGGAGAAAGAAAGCATCATCGAGTAGGAGATCAGCGGGAATGAAGAAGGTGTGATGTTAATGGCGCACGGAGGGGGAATGACCGGTAGTGATGCATCATGGTACCTTGATACAGGTGCGAGCAATTACATGACCGGGCATGAACACCTATACACAAAGATGGAAGAGATCTGAGGTGGATATGTCTCATTTGCAGATGCATTCAAAGTCGAAGTCAAAGGTCGAGGGAAGGTCTAGTTCCTACAAAAGGATGGACAAGAAGGCGTAATCGAGGACGTATATTGCGTTCCGGATATGAAGAGCAACATTATCAGTATGGGACAACTACCCGAGAAAGGTTATACAATCAGCATGAAGGACAAGTTGATGAGCATGAATGTCAAGCGGGGACGACCAGTCTCTTAAGTACAAATTACTCGAAATCGCATGTTCAAACTGGATTTGAAGACAATTATTCATAAGTGCTTGAAATTTGATCTGACTGACAAGTCACTGTTGTGGCATATGTGTTTCCGACATTTGAATTTTGGAAGCTTGTCCGATTTAAGCAAGAAGAAGATGGTGCATGGGCTCTAGCGGATGGATTAATCGAAACAATTTTGTGAGGGTTGTGTGCTTGGGAAACATGCTCGACATAGTTTCTCAAACAAGGTGAAGTACTGAGCTAAAGGACCCCTGGAGACGGTTTACACTGACACATGTGAACCAATCACCCTACGATCTTTTAGTGGTCGAAGATATTTAGTGATGTTAATAGATGACTATACCAGGAAAACCTGGATCTATTTTTTGAGGAAGAAGCCTGAAGCACTCAACACATTTTGAGCATTAAGGCTGAAGTACAGAAGATGACCGGTCTCAGATAGAGGCAGAGAGTACACCTCAGACGAGTTCAAAAAATTTTGCAAAGATGAAGGAGTGCGGAGATTTGTGACTACTCCTTACTCACCACAGCAGAGCGAGGTTGCCGAAAGGAAGAACCGAAGTATACTGGATATGCTCTGATCTATGCTTGGAAGTAAGGGAATGCCTAAAGAATTTTGGACATAAGCCATTAGGTGTGCAGTGTACGTGCAGAATAAATGTCCGCACTCAATCCTTGAAGGCCAGATACCTTAGGAGGGATAGTGTGGGCAATAGCCTACGTGCGCGTGACCAAAGTAGAACAAAGCTGGAGGATAAGAGCAAGAAGATGATCATGGTCAGATATGATGAGAAAACAAAGGGGCACAGATTGTACAATCCAATTGTGAAAAATATAGTGGTAAGAAGAGATTTGGATGTAAACGAAGCAGGTAGTTAGGATTGGAGAAAAGGAGCTGAGGCCGAGGGCGAGCAGAAACAGACCAAAGTCAGTGCATTATATCGCCAAACTCATCACTGAGTATGTAATATTCGAGGCCGCCTGACCTCACACCCGAGCCAACCTTTGAATACAGTCATGATGAAGACGAGCCTAAAACTAGCTCGGAGATATAGGAGCTTACAGGATTTGTACGAGTCAACTCCTGAGATGCACATGATATGTCTGCTCGTTGATAGCGCGGACATTACCTTTGAGGAGGTCGAGCGTGATATATAAGAGATGGAAAAAGCCATGTATGAGGAGATCAGGGCGATCCAGAAAAATCAAACCTGGGAAATGGTTGACCTTCCAAATGGCACATATCGATTGGTGAAAATGGGTATTTAAAAAGAAGTATAGTGCAGAGGGCGTCGTGGAGCGCTAAAAAGCTCGCCTGGTTGCAAAAGTCTACAAACAAAAGATAGGAGTGGATTATGATGAGGTCTTTGCGCCAGTAGCACAGATCGACACAATCCGACTACTAATCGCACAAGGTGCACAGAAAAGATGGGCAATTCATCAGATGGATGTAAAATCAACATTTTTAAACGAAACCCTAGAGGAAGAAGTGCATGTGGTACAACCACTTGGCTACGTTGAGATCGGGCATGAGATAAAAGTGCTAAAATTGAGAAAAGCGTTGTAAGGGCTGAAACAAGTGTCGCGAGCTTGGAACAACTAGATAGATATACATACTTCAAGAAAAATGGTTTTGTACGGTGTTTATTGGAGCAAGGTCTTTATATAAAGAAGAGAACACTTGGCATCTTATACACAACTTTCTACGTGGATGACCTCATTTTCATGGGAAGCAACACAAATATGATGAGACAGTTCAAAGAAAAGATGAAAACTGAGAGACCTAAAAAATAGTCGATTTTGTCACTCTCAACCTGCGAGACCTAGTATGTGGCCACATCATACTGCGTGAGACATGTGGTGTGGCTTAGAAGGTTGATGATTGAACTCGAGCTTGGCAACACGGTGCGAATTAAAACTGGAAAATCGAAAGAGATGGTCGGGTAGAGGAGCGCCCGACCAAAATATTTGTGGATAATAAATCTGCAATTGAGCTAGCAAAGAACCCGGTTCACCATTATAGAAGCAATCACAATGATGTACATTTCCATTTCATACGAGAGCAGATAAAGAAGAAGGAGATGGAGTTGGAGTACATTCGGAGTCGAGAACAAATAGTAGACATATTCACCAAGCCATTGTCGACTGCAATTTTTGAACATGACAAATCTGAGCTCAGACTTTAGGATCGACGAGAATTAAGCTTAAGGGAGGAATTTGTTGGAAATCAATCAATTAATTGATTGATTTCCTTACCGCTTATATTAATATCATTAGGATTGAGATCATTACGACAAACTCAAAGAGACCAACACTAACAATAACTATCTGTAACAAATCGCACTATCAACCCTACGACTAAACTTAGAGACGATCACCCCTGAAAAAGCAATACAAATAATCGCTAACCACCAAACGGTTGTGACACAACAATCATTGGCCATGTCGATCCTTCTAACGACATAATATCTATCAGAATTACCAATCCTTATTATAGACCTAAAACTAAAGACATCAACAAAAAACAAAGCAACATAAACAAACTTAACGCGAAAGTAAGACCATAAAAATAAAATAATTGACAAATACTCCAAGCTCCTTCCTGGCAGTATTCTTGAAGTATCGTCTTCCAAACCCTAACACCTTGGTTGCTCCAGGGTGGCGGTTCAGGAGGTGAGTGACCAGCCGATCTGTCTTCTCCCTTCCTCAGAATTTGATCCAAAAATTGCCAGGTGATTTTTCAAACGAAGGTATCAATCATAGACCTTCAGATTCGATCCACAGCAACACATCTAGAAACATCAACCATAGAGAAGCAGACCATGAAGAGGCAGAGCGTGTAACAACCTCCCTCCCACTGTCACTTCAAATCATTTTCTGGACAAAAAACAATGCAAGTCGCCTACCAGAAAGATATACCCTAGACGAAAGCTAGGGAGAAGACCACTTCTACGCTACTCTGAGCGTTAGCATAGAATTGCCGAAATTGTAAGGGCATAGCCAACACTAAGCTCTCCAATTGCCGAAATGTCTCGATCACATTGAAAGGAGCTATTAATTAATTGATTTAATAATCTTAATTTTAGGAATTTTTGAGTTAGCTTAGAATTAAGGTGTATATTGTTTGTGTTTGTAAGCAATTAGGTAACCCAATAAGTTGCCAAATTGCTTATTACATATGCCTATATATATGACTCTACATATTAGTATTTTGCATCCATCCAGTGAGCAATATTAATAATAAGAAGAGTTCTCACCTCTCAATACAAAACGTGTTAGTGCGCGAGTTTTTGTCCGACAAGCCGACGACATCTCCTGTGATATAATAGATTTATTCCTAACGAAAATAATAGATATGAGGTTACAAATGTTGAAATATCAATCACACACTAGAAGAGTAATTCACATTTTACTCTCATTACAACTCAATATATTTACAACTACGGTGCATAAAAACTAGAAGTTTATATGGTCAATTAAAGTTGCAATATAGATCGTGTTTTACAAGAATAGATTTACAAGTATCGGGAATAGGAATTTATCCGATCTTGTATATATGGTGCGTGTGTGATGTATTAGTCGATATTCAGCGGGGGTTTTCTAGATGAATGCAAGTCATAATGAGTTAATGAGACTTACATGTAATGAAAACTAAACTCTAATCAACATTTACGTTTATCGTGGTGCATTTTTCTTTGTATGATGTGTATATATATTAATTAACAACTTGGTTTATTAAAAGAAAAGGAATTACAAGAGTAGGAGGACCAAGCCGAAGCCTACTATAAATACAAAGCAACATAAGGGAATCCTATGACATCATATTTCAGGATATTGGTAAACCGAGTAGTATGAGAGTTGTTTCCTTCACTGATGTATCGTGCCGCATGTTCACTACCTTGTTAATGACTTCAAGAGATATAGATTCCCTAATCAAAATTCTTCGAATACGGTAATAGTGTAGATGTCATCCCAATAACCAACACAATGCGACCTAATTGCTTGGCCAACCTTCTATATATATATATATATATATATATATATATATATATAACTAAAAATCTTTGCATTTCACATCATTTTTATACTCGTGTTTTCAAACCACAAACTTTATAAAATAATTGGCCATTACTTGTGGGTCGACCCCGAATACAATAATGGACCATTAATAGGCTATATACACGAAGTTATTTTGCTAAGGTAAAGCTATCTGTTGAAGGTCCTGATCGAGGTGGCCTGGTCGGGGGAGGGAGGGGGGCAGGCCAAGGTGGCTTGTCTTTGAGTGAATTTGGACCGGTATCTGGATTCCTTTATTCCTGGGAAGCTTTCTGTATGGGTGGCCCTCGTCTGGCAAAGGGGCCCCAACCAAGGGACGGAGGAGGACTTCATCATTGTCTTGTATTCTACTTTGTATATTCATGAGTATCTGGGTCGTGGGGTCCAAGCCCATATACATATACTATTCTCACATGACCACATCCATATAGTCTAATAGTATAACTTGGCTCTTATACATTTTGTAGGGATATTAGATTGTAGTTTAATATTTTCGGTGTACTGATAGTAAACCATAGTAAGAATGAGAAATTTGGATGCAGGTTAGCCAAGCGATGTATGGCGACACGTCTCCGAGATTCTTCATATATTGGACAGTCAGTACTATTCAATTGTCTATTCGTTTAATTAACAATAGTTGAGAAATACTAATACGTATGTAACTATATATGTATCAACTATCATTGTATGCGGTAAATTAATTAATTAAATATTACTGCATATCATACAGGGGGATTCATATAACAATGGTTGTTACAATTTGGGATGCTCGGGCTTTGTCCAAATTGGAAATAAATATGCTGTTGGGGCAGCCATCACTCCGACCTCAGAGTATAATGGGACACAAAAGGACATCGAGATATATATTTGGAAGGTGCATATTTATATTTAGCAACCCTTATAATTAAATTTATCCCTACCCAGCTCTTTGTTCACCATTTTCCCTCCTTTATATACACCATCACCAAATGATTTGCAAAATCAGTTTTTCCTTAGTTCGTCCCAAAATGGTTTGCAAAACCAATTTTTCTTAATTCGACCCAAAATGATTTGAAAAATCAGTTTTCTTAATTAGCATGGATTGATTTTATTTAGTTTAAGATTTAAATATCGAGTTTTTATTATATTCTATTTTGAGTTGTTCCATTTTGTAAAACTTCAAATGTTATTTTTAAATATGTAAGTTTTAATTAATAAATTTGATTTAACTATCTGAAAGAATGGTATAAGTTTCGTACTTTATCATTCAATAGTGACAAACATATTACATATGTGATTGCCTATTTCGTACTAATAAGACAATAAATGAATGTCTAACTTTGTATCTCTCATGTTGCATAGTTCTTTCCCAGTTAATAGATTTTTCATGGAGATTAATAAAAAAGAGGGGTAAGGAGCACGGTAGGAAAAGTAAACATTATTCGTAGAAGTGTAAAACACAATAAATGAAAAAAAAAAAAAAGAATAAATGAAAAATTATAAAAGAGAAAATGGAAAATTAATCAAACTAATTAACTCCAAAATTTGAATTTTTGAATCAAACTTTAATTACTTTGACATTAATTGTTCAAAAACATATCACTGTATATTATTATTATAATACTAAAATAATTCTAAATACCTCATTTAAATATTATCTAAATGTTATTTTATTATAGATTTTATAAGTGTGTACTGTTATATATTAATGATCAAGTGTCTAGTTATGATTATGTTATATATTTAATTACATTGTTCATGATTAATTCCCTAATCCATTATAAACATGACTATATGTTTTAGCCAAAGTGGCAACACTATCACAACGAATAGAAACAGGTGCAATCAATTTCGCCCACAGTGGAATCTCAAAAATTAAATTTCTTAATCACTCCACCTCTTTACCGGTGATAGCCAACACAACAAACTCAGGTTACATTGTTAAACTTGTAATACAAGTTTGCTTCTTGAATGCCCAAGAAATGGCACCTCCCCCAAGCAAGAATACTCAACCATTTGTAGAAAAATGATCCTCTACATTGAATATCCCTCTAACACTGAAGCCTCTGTTCTAAAAATCGTTCTAGGCGTCCGACTAGTCCCCGCCTAGGCGCTAGGCGGTGGTCGGGCGCCCCGATTTTCGTCTAGGCGCTCCGACTAATTGGTTTGCCGTCTAGGTGAATTAGTCAGCCGCCTATGACACCTAATTGCCCACCAAGAGCGCCTAATCGGCCGCCTAGGCCGTCTAGATTCGCCGAACATTACTTTACTTTTTAATTTTAATTTTCTAAGTGATATAAGTACTTTAACTTTAGTCACAGATATAAAGAAATGAAGTTGTAAATTAAGATAAAGACTATATATGTTTGTATATATACCTAAATTTTATTATTATTTATATTTATAACATAATGAAGTTAAGTGATTAATTATCATATACTACGTATGATTAAATGTGATAATTCTATTATTCACGTTTGTTAATGTATCTGTGTATATGTATTTTATGAGATATTACCCAAAATGGGACTAAATAGGTTTGCAAATTCCAAACATGGGACTACCATGTTTTTATTCTCAAAATAGGAGTAATTACTGTCATGTTTTGACAGTACCAGACTATAAACATGACAGTATTTTCCAAACTTGACAGTAATTACTCCTATGTTGGGAATAAAAACATGACAGTCCTATTTTGGAATTTTCAAACTGTTTTAGTCCCATTTCGGGAACTTTCCCGTATTTTATTCACATAACTGACATAAGAATAGTAGAATACAATATTACTTATCATATTTATGCAAAAATATAGATAAAATGCAATTTCTATGTTCCGACTAGTCCCCGCCTAGGCGCCCGCCTAGCCGCCTAGGCGCTAGGCGCTGGGCTGGCGCCCGACTAACGCCTAGCGCCTTTTAGAACATTGACTGAAGCATACTCAAAGTAACACAACTCATACTCCATGGTTCCTTTTAAGTACTTAAACATTTTCTTCATTGCTTGCCAATGTTGAGTACTGAGATTACTAGTATATCGGCTCAACCTATACACGACATAAGCAATATCGGGTTGGGTGTTTGTCATTGCATACATCAAACAATCAATAGCTTGAGAGTACTCAAGTTGTGATATTGTCTTTCCTTTATTACGCATCAACTTCACACTAGGATCCATGGGAGTACTAAAGGGTGAACAATCGCTATAATTTAATCTTTAGAGAATATTCTCAACATATATAGTGAGCTTGTGTCAAAACAATCCCTTTATTTACCCGTTTGATTCTTATTCCAAGGATCACATCCGCCTCCCCCATATCCTTCATGCATGGAAAACCTTGATGATAACAACCTTTTAGTTTCATCAACCTAATTTTGGTCTGTTCCAAAAATTAGCACGTCATCAACATAGAGACATAGAAACACACCCGCCCCTAAAGCATCAAGTCGGTTATAAACACACTTGTTCCGTTTATTTGGAAACCTGTTCAAAGCATAGCAGGCCGTGAGCATGACCTTTCCCCAAAAATTCTTCACTCAAACCCGAGTTGGAAAGCATGAAGTTGACCATTTCCTTTAAAACTCGATTTTTCCATTCGGCCACACCATTTTGTTGTGGTGTGTACGGAACCGTAGTTTCATGTATATTTTTAACGGGTTGAAAATAATGAGGACCCATTTATTCTCCTTCCCGATTAGTCCTAAGACATTTAATTTTGGATTACCCAATTGCAATTCAACCTTGGTTTTATACACTTTAAATTTCTCTAAATCTTCATCCTTAGTGGGTAATAAATACACATAGCAAAACCGAGTTGAATCATCAATACAAGTAACAACATATTTCTTATTGCCAAGGGATGAAGTTGAGTGAAAATCACATAGATCACGATGTATAAGATCCAAAATAGCCAAACTCCTTTCAATATTAGGAAACAATTGTTTTGTGATCTTAGTAAGCATGCAAGTCGTACACTTGTCATTATTAAGCTGGAATTAAAGCATCTTTAGACATTTCATGCATTTTTCTAAAATTGACATGAGATAATCTAGCATGCCAAATGATACCATCATACATGCAAGATGCCACAAAAAAAACAGAATAATCTCAAGAAATTTAATTTATTCATAACATTCCAACAAAACATGCGATTTGAAAAATATCCAAAACCAACAAACACATCATGCTTGGACAAAATATACTTATCGGATTCAATCACTTGTTTGAACCCTAAATTAGTCAACATACTTCCCGAAACAATATTCTTTCGAACCTTCGGTACATATAAAACATCAAATAACATAATTTTTTCCACAAGTAAATTCTAAAATAACGACATTCTTTCCCAATATTGGCGCCATTGACTCGTCTCTCATGCGTTAAAAGGAACGGACCTCTACTTTATCCTTACACACATGGCTCGTAGCCCCCGAGTCACTCCACCATGCACAATCATCATCATGAACGTTAAAGAATTCTAGAATGAATGATACATAATTCTAGACAGAATTATCAAAGTTAGTCAAGAACTAACCTCCTTTCGGTGAACCTAGGTCCATAGACCTTCCTTGTCCACTCTCACTCGTTTCAAAATCATTCTTGTTCAGTTTCACATGGCAATCACGCTTAACATGCCCAACCTTTTGACATCTCCAATAAACCAAACCTTTCAGTTTCTTGTTGAATTTGTCATGGTCTTCATACGTGCGCTTCTTGCCTTTCCCCTTATTGTTTGGGTTAGATTTCTTCTCCTCAACCAAGTGACCATGGGGCTGCTCGGATTCAACTTCGCCCTTAATTTTGTCATTCGATCTTTTGCGCACGAAGAGACTCCTTAATGCACAAGTGACTGCCAAGTTGAACCAATGACAATTCCTCATTTTGATGTTTTAAAGTACGTTTAAAATCCTTCCAAGAAGGTGAAAGTTTGTCAATTATACTCAAAATGACATAGGATTCACCATACCTATCTTGTGGAGAGTAATTGACCAAGAACATGAACGAGTTCATTGTACTGTTCCATAACCGACCTTGAGTCAAGCATTTTATAATTATTAAAATCACTCAAACTTCTTACTAGAAACATCTTCGGTGATGTATTTTGAATCAAGAAAATTCCACAATTCCTTCGCACTCTCAACATTTTGGTATATATCAAATAGCACATCAGACATACCGTTAAGAATTTGGCCTCTACATATGTAGTCATCGTTCTCCCACTTGTTACGCCTCCTAGTTTGATCAAATGTTTCATTTTCTATCACTTCCTGTTGGTCCCGTTTAGTATGGTAATCAGTCTAGAGGGGGGGGGGGGTGAATAGACTGATTGGTTTTTCAACTTTTTCTCAAAGTCAAAACTGACTTATCAGAGAAGGTCTGATTCTGATGACAGAGAGAGGCTGGTTCTGATATCAGAACTGGCCTTGGCAGCGGATTCTGATCTGTCCGGGTAGCCTCAGAAAAATACTAAGGCAAATGCCTTTCTGATAACTCTGAGAGCAAGATCTGCTGAACACAGATTCCAAGTCTTAGAGTTAATCAGATAATATCCTAAGTGCAGAAATATAAATTGCAGTAAAGTAAATGACACCGGATATTTTTATAGTGGTTCAAGGAACAACTCGTTCCTCTAGTCCACTGTTCCACTAGCTTTGAAGTAGATCAGTTACAAAGCTAATTCCTAGCACTCAAGAAGCACTCCACGTCTTCTTCAAGCCTAGATGCCACCCAGGATGCAGTTCCACGTCCTGATGGCTGATCCTTTCACTCAGCTTCCCGGAAGTATCACCCCTTCACTACTGCAGTTACTTGGACGCCCTTCTTTTCAGAAGATCCTTTGAAAAACAGAGTTTTTCCTCCAACTTGCTTCGTTACAAATGATGTTTGATGAAGTTCTTGA